GCGCTTCTTCTGCCCCACGGCCCGGGAGCGGGAGGGTGGGCCGGGCCCGCAGCTCGACGGTGACACGTGCGAGCTGGGCATCCACCTCAAGGAGCTGGAGCTGCTGGCGCTCACCGGCGATGCTACCGCCCCGCCCTCGCCCCCGTGTGCGTGCGCCGTCTCCCTTCCCCCACCCACCCCAGTCTCCGGTGCTTCGGGTCTCCCTTGGCGCGAAGCCGCTGAGCCTCCTCGCGCCCCGGCTCGCAGCTCATTGGCTGCCCCGAGCAACACTGCCCGCCCATTGGGTGCCCGCTGAGGCGGGAGCAATGCCGCAGTGGGGTTTTCCGCCCGTGCGCGCGTTGCCACGGCAACGGTGGAAGACCTTCACCCGCCCCACTCCGACACTGACTTATTCCCCCTCACCACCTCGGCCCACGGGTCATGGCAACTCCCCGGGGCAGTGTGAGGGGGGCAAGCCGAGGCACCGCAACGCCCGTGATTCACAGAGCAATCCACCCAGGGGAAAGCATTCTGCCCGTTGGGGTCTTTACGAGCTCCTGCCAACTGAAGTTTCCCTCCCCCTATAGTGTAAAAAAGGAGTGAAAGCCAAGAGCTTTCCTTTTCTTGTAGGAGCCGAGGCACCCTTGGGGGCCTTGGGTTCAACAACCAGGAGCGCCTATGATAAGGCTGAGGACTGCAGTACTAGAATTTATCCGCTGCAGGGCACTGTTGAAACCAGCACGGGTCTGTGGCAACCTGGACTTGTTTGGGGCCGGCCACATACACAAAACGAGTTTGGCTTTTTCATTTCAGTGCCTGGTGAACCCGTGGCCAGGTGACGGGAATAAGCAAGTCATCTGACTGGTAACCCATGTGGGCAGCTTCAAAAGCAAAGTGAACCTTTGAAGAGCCATCCCTTTTCTCCAAGCCAAATCATACTGGCAGCAGTGTAGCTTTGAGTTGCAGGGGGAAAAAATTAAAAATTTAAATCAATGTGGCAGGAGACTTCTAAGCATTAAAAGTAATCTTAACCTTTAATACAATTATTTTAAATTCAAAATGATGCATTTTTTGTTGCTATAATTTTCCCAAAAGGTTGCCAACACCTTTTCCCACCTGTTTTCAATGGTCTTTAGAGATGTTAGTTAACTGGATGATCCTGAAACAAGAAATTTGTTGAGATAGTCATGGTTTAGTTAAGTTTAAGACAAAATTTGATCTTCTTTTCCAAAATCTTTCACATTTACATGTTTCAATATGAATGGCAAATTAATGTTAGGTCTTATTTCTTTTTAGATATGCTTCTGAAAGCAATAAAGGAGGAAAAGATGCAAGGCATAAAGACAAGGCAGAATCTGAAGAAACAGACATCTACATCATGAGAATTATTACCAATGTTTCGTTATGTCACTTCACAGCATTAATGGAGTCTCCCCCATTATATCTTATTTTATTGACTATCTGCTGTTTTATTATAGTGCCAAGTCAGATATATAGCATAGTATCTTGGCTTTTATTATTTTATTTAATAATGCTACCAATCTGCTACCAATGCTACCAATCTGAAATACATGTATTTTAAACTATTGTGTATACTACTAGACAGGTGCATTAATATTAATAGATTAATAGATATATTCATATGAATTGTATTTAATTGCTAATACAAGTAGCAGGAAAGGGGCAGAGCAAAATGCTGCCTTTCCAAGACTTCAGGTTGAGTGTGATTTTTTTTTTTATCACATTCATACAGGTTTTCACAGTTGATAAGGTGCATTACTGAAGAAAAAGGGGCATGGATATAATCAGGAAGTTATCAGAATTCTAGTACCACTGGAAGCAGGACACAACTCCAGTGCCTGATTCAGCAGGGTAAATGGTAGGATCTTATGTTTAAGAAAGCACCTATTTCTAAAACACCCTGTAGTTGCATGACACACACACTGGGTGCACTTCATGTGCCGTTAAAGTGACATGATAAACTCCAGCACGAACTCAGTTGCTCCCAGGCACAGCATCTGCACGTGTGCCCAGGACCACAGTAGTTTAAGCCAGAGTAGAGCAGGCCTGGGAGGGGGCAGCCCCAGGCTCTGGGTGGCAGTGTCAGGCAGCAGAGGGGCTGGCACAAGAGTTCCGAAACTGTGGATCCCTCCCCCCGCTCCCCAGCGTGTTGCCAGCCCAGAGCTGCTCCACCCTGGATCAAACTGCTGCAGTCCACCATCCACACATGCATTTCTGTGCAGTAAATGATTCCACCATAAGATTGTATTATCCCCAACAGTAGAATCTTGCAGCAGAGTTAATTAACTCATTGCACCCTAATACTAGTGTTATGTATAGACAGTGACAGTGACTGCATAGCTAATTAGTCAACTCCACAGTAAAGCGCATGTATAGATGCGCCTACTGAGGTTAAGAATATCCCTTCCCAATGTACAGCATTATGAAGCACTCTTTCCCTAAAAATATCACTGCCATGAACCCATAGCTTCTCCAACTCCCACATTCCATAAGGAATATAAGCTATAAATGGATGGAGGCACCCACTGAGGGAAAACTGCACCCAGTTTGCCAATAGTTACCACCCTAAAGCCCAGTAACTTCTATATGGATAAAATGGTACTGAATATGTGCCATTTCTTTCATAGAAGGATTGGATTGTGTTAGTACCTTCAAGTATTGTATTGCAGTGTTCTATACTCAGAATACATTCTTTGTAGGGTGCAGACCCACCACACATTTACACCTTTGGCAAAAAACTCTGATTGTGTACAACAAGGTATAATACGCTGAGATCTAGAATGGACAGATGACCATCTTACGCCAAAGCTTTTAGACTGCTTGTATACTTGGGGAGGGATGTGGGGATGGCAACTGGAGGGAGGAGGCAGGTAATAGTTTGCCCTGTAGGAAAGTCAGTTTAAATGAAATATAGCTGCAGGTACAGGGGTACCAGGGTGTAACTTCCATAAGTATGTAGGTATTAAAGCTTTTTCAAGCTGTAACTTTACACGGGAATAGAGTGACTTACACAAGCATGTTACATGTCCACTCTACTTTTACACCAGTATAAAGATGATTACACTGGGCACGTTTACACATGCAATTAGTGCACATGAATAAATTCCAAAGCTTATTGCTCCAGAGGTTTTTGCTCCCAGGCATGCCATTTGAATGTGCAGCTGGGAACACTTAACTCCAGAGCAATTAGCTCTGGTGTTCATTCATGCTCAACGTGTGGAGTCCAGTCAGAGCAGCCCCGGCTGGCAGGGGCCTCCTGGGGTCAGCCTGCCAGCGTGGGGCTGCTCCAACTGGGCTCAGTGTTCTGCAGAGGGGCTGGCTGGGGCCCAAGGGTGCTTCAGTGCAGGGCTAGCCAGCAGCAAGCTAGCCCCTGAACTGCAGCACCCGTGTGCCCCAGCCAGCCTGGTGAGTGTCTACACGTGCGTTGTTGCACACACAAAAATTCCGCAGCAGACTAGTACTTGCATTTGCAAGTTCTACCCTGCTGCAGAGCTTATTAGTTTCCTGTACCCTAATAGGGGCGCATGTGTAGATGCTGAGACATTTACTGCAGAGCTAATTAGTCAGCTCCGCAGTAAGTCTTGCGTAGACACGCTCACTGATGCAAACTTAATGTGTGCCTGTACCTTTACTGTAAGAATAAAGCCATCCATGATGAAAATAGATAGAAAATGGATCTGTAATTGTTGCTTTGTTTGCTGGTCTGACAGCTTTAATTCAACCATATGGGAAAAGATTGAGTGAATTAGGTATGTTTAGTATGGGGAAAAAAGAAATTAAAGGGAGAGATGATAGTTTTGAAATATTTGAAGAACTGCTCTGTAGAAGAACTGTTCCTTGCCATAAGGAACAAACAGCAGGCAATCTAGACATATTTAGAAACTGGCAGTGTATGATTTCTGGTATGAAAAAAAATTGCTTTTTGTTACTGTGATGTAGGTCCACTAGATGGCAGTATGAAACAATAATGTAACTTTGTCAAGTCTCAAAATTTTATAGTAAGTGGCTACATTTAAACAAAATTTAAATCTTGAACAAATGCCTGGTTACAAAACATTGTGGTACAATGTGAATCTAAAACACCGTTGCTTGTTATAGTGGCATTTGTTTACTCTTACTTCTTTCCCTACCAGCCTTTCAGGAAAGATTCTGTTGAGTCCTCAGATATCTTATAATCAAAACTATTTCATAGACTGTCACTTCCACTGATGACTTCCTTTTCTGGACTAATCCTGGGGCGAGTAGAGAGAACATAGGATCTTGAGCCATGGGTATCAACTCCATGGGTTCTCCAGGGCTCAAGCACCCAGGAAAAAAAAATAATTGTGTGTTCATCACCCACAGAGCCACTTACAGATATATATATTTTTTAAAAGCACTTTACCAGAAGAAGCTGCACTTGACTTCAACTGGGCTCTGTAGAGTCTGTAGACATCAGGTGCTTCAGCGGAGCTTTTTGGCACTTTTAGCTTAAGATGATTCAATCTGCTATAAAATAAAAGTGCCAAAAAACCCCCATTAAAGTACCCAATCTTTACAGATGCTGCAGAACCGGGTAGAAGTAATGTGCTGGCTCTTCCGTGTATGCATGGAGCTTGGCATGGGAATGCACCAAGATAAAAGCAAAGTGCTGGGGGGGGTTGTTTGTTTTTTATGCCTGTAAGCACTCACCGACAAAAAAAAAGTTAGCATGTGACAGGCTCATGCCCAGCCCTCTTGCCCAGTGCCACAGGTGTGCCTTGCACTCCTGGGCCGTGTCACACCTGATCCTCTTGCCCGCCATGACTTGCTGTTCCAAAGATGACCTTGTACTCGCCTGGAGGAGATCCAGTGGTTCTCTGTGGCCGGGTGTAACCATAGCAGTGCGTCTTCTGTGGGGCTCCTCCTCTCCTACGCCCTGCCCCTTTCTGCTTGGGTGTTATTGCCATTCATTGGGATGTCATAGGTGTTTTCCACATGGGCCATCCCACCATTGGCAATGGGTCGGGGGTACACACAGGTGCACATGCGTCCGGAGATTTGCGGTGCACCCCAAGAGATTGGCCGCTGCCAGCAGCACCTGCGGGTGGTCACCACTCGCCACCCCCACCCCCCCCACTGCCGACACCATTGGCAGCATCTTCTGTGGGTGGTTGCTGATGGCGGGTGGGTGCTTCCCATCCCCACCCCCCACTGCCAACACTGCTGCAGCTGTCTGCAGGATCTCCCTGCTCACCACTGCCACGCTGCTGACACCACCGCTGCCTGCAAGCAGTCACTGTGTCTCCCCAGCCTCAGGAGGCACACAATGTTCATGCATCCCACAATGTTACACTGGGACTTGAATCCTTAGGGGTTTAGCCCCTGTTCACACCAATGTAGGAACATAAAAGAATGAAAACTAAACCAACAAAGTGAACTCAAAAATGGCTTGGCGGCCAGACAGGGCACTGGTGCCTCACTGCTGCAAGCTTCTCCCCCTTCTCAGGGTGCCAGTTACTTTGGGCCTTACACCCCTTCTCTTCTCCTTATTGGCCCCTGGGGAAGGTACCCTCTCCAGGAGAACCCTTCCCAGACTGGCACTGGGCCAGGTCTGGCTTTACCTTGGAGTGGCCACTTTCATGCCCCCATGAGGCCTATGCAGTTCATGTACCTCTTTTCATAGATTCATAGATTAAGGGTCGGAAGGGACCTAGTAGATCTTCTAGCCCGACCCCCCGCCAGGGCGGGAGAACAACAAAAAACCCCAAAAAGAGAAACAGGACTCAAACGAGTCCAGCCAGGTAGGCATCCAGCCTCTTCTTAAAGACCCCCAGGGTAGGGGCCAGCACCACTTCCCTTGGAAGTTGGTTCCAGCTCCTAGCCGCCCTAACCGTGAAGTAGTTTTTGCGGATGTCCAATC